CACACACACACACATGATGCGCAAAACTCCGCATTTGAACAGTCGATAGCAAATACTTAAACTAATAACAAAACAGTAGCTAAGCCTAATTTAAATTAGGTATGTTTTTTAACAAAACAGTAGCTGATTCAGAAGCGCCGGATTGTCATAGCAAAGTCAGAATTACCTCCTCTCCTAGGTTCACGAAACGGTCATCTATAAAATGCATTGCTGTTCTGTTGTAAGTGATCTTAAAAATTCCTAAATGCATCTACTTTCGGAAGGCCAAATAAAGTGCTTTTGCTTTCACCTAGAAACACACAGCGTCTCCCTGATATGGCTGCTTCAACAATAACTGCGGCTACTGAAACCACACCTTTCTTTGCGTGCACATTTGGGCTGCATTATGCTAATATTTCCACATAGTGAGGTAGATATGTGGGGGCGTGTTAGAACGAGCCGTTTTAGGGGGGCGTGGCAGAGTCTTAACTTTGATAAAGAATATCTCTTTGGTTTTGAGACTTTAGTCTTTGCAACTTCAGGGATCTTATCTATGCACAATCAGCTTGTAACACTCCAAAGAGAAAGGAAAACTTGAAATCGCATCATATGACCCCTTTAAATAAAGTAATTAAATATCTTATCAGAAATATCTTAATTTGTGTTCCGAAGATGAACAATGGTTTTACGGATTTGGAACGACATGAGGGTGAGTAATTAATGACAATTTTAATTTTTGGGTCAACTTTCACTTTAACATCAATATAGTATTTGTGGCACATCCTGGAAAATAAGATCCATCCATTTTTGACTGATGATTGTGTGATTGAGTTAAAATCGGGTGGGGCAGGATTTGTGCTTAACTGGTTTAGGGGAAAAAATAGTTGGGGAAAAAACCTTATGCTGTTCTAAACCTGCATGCAATTCTTTCTTCAGTGGATCATGAAAATTATTTTGAAGAATGTTGGTAAGCAAACACTTTTGGTTACCTTTCAATTCCATTGTATTATTATTATTTTTTTTGTCTACAAAAAAATACAATGAAAGTTAATGGGAACCGAATCTGTTTGGTTACTAAAGGGTTACTCCACCCCAAAATGAAAATTTTGTCATTAATCACTTACCCACATGTCGTTCCAAACCCATAAAAGCTTCATTCGTCTTCGGGAACACAATTTAAGATATTTCGAATGAAAACCGGGAGGCTTGTGACTGTCCCATTGACTGCCAAGTAAATAACACTGTCAAGGCCCAGAAAACAAACTTTATTCAACAATTCGTCTCCTCTGCGTCACCGTAGCGCCATTTTGGAGAGTGTCCACTGAACGCAAACTGCGTATGCTGTTCTGTGTCAGCCACACCACACGGATACGCTGTTTTCGTTCAAATCAAAGCGTAAAAAAAACGTAGAAAACGAATCCGTGTGGTGCGGCTGACAGACAAGTAGAACAGTATACACAGTTTACGTTCAGTGGACACTCTCCAAAATGGTGCTACGGTGATGCGAAGGAGACGAATTGTTGAATAAAGTTTGTTATTTTTGTTTTCTTTGCGTACAAAAAGTATTCTCGTCACTTCATAAAATTCAGATTGAACCACTGATGGCAGATGGACTATTTTGATGATGTCTTTCATACTTTTCTGGGCCTTGACAGTGTTATTTACTTGTCAGTCAATGGGACAGTCACAAGCCTCCCGGTTGTCATCCAAAATATCTTAAATTGTGTTCCGAAGACGAATAAAGCTTTTACGGGATTGGAACGACATGGGGGTGATTAATGACAAAATTTTCTTTTTGGGGTGGAGTAACCCTTTTATTTTCCACAGAAAAAGAAATTCATACAGGTTTAAAACAGTAAATGATGACAGAATTAAAATTTTTGGGTGATTTATATAGACTCTTTTTGAAATAAAAATTCTATCTGAAATAATAATTCTACCTGTTCATGAGATTGTATGAAAGGTGATGAGAGGGTGACTGATGTGCTGCCTAAATTTCCACTGTGCTGAGTAGATTAGTGCTGACTTCTGTTGATCTGTGTGCAGATTGTGATCGTGCAGTTTGGGGGCAAGCCCTTCAGCTGTGCCCCTCTCAATGTGGAGCAATGGCTGTGGTGCCTCTTCGTGGGAGTTGGAGAACTGCTGTGGGGTCAGGTAGGAGAGCAAGAGACATAAAAAACAAATAAGGAGAACAACTATCAAAGATCTTTGTGTGACTGAAGGTGTCGAGTATTTCATCAAGTTTATGATTTTTCAAGTTTAAGATATTTTTCCCCAAAGAATCTGATTTATTATCTGATTTATTTGGTCATTTTGAAATTATTGCATCAGCTGATAAATTTGCTAGACTGCATTATATCCTATATCCTTATATCCTGCCGAGAAGCACGTTTTAATATATTTTTAATGAAGAAAATATTCAAATAAATGCCAATTATTTTGTGTGCGTCTAATATACTTTCCTTTTAAATTGTAATATACAGTTCACAACATGACCACAAGTATGTGAACACCCAAACTGTGTGCCACGTGATTCATTTTAAACCAATGTCTATTAATTGGGACTTTTATTACTACAACAGCTTCTACTCTTCAGGGAAGGCTTTTTTCTACAAAATGTTGGAACATAGCTGTGCGAATTTGCTCCCATTAAGACACGAGCATCAATGAGGTCAGGCACTGATGTTGAGTAATGAGGTCTGGCTCATACCAAGTTCATCCCACGGGTGTTCAGTTGGGTTAAAGTTCTTCCACACCAGACTCAGTGCAGCATTTTATTGGTGGACAAGCTCTTTGGTTCTTATCCTACTGTGAATATTTGTCAGTGGATGCATGATCGATTGTATGCATCTGAAAGTCTCATGAATTGGTGTAGCCAAAATAGACAAACACATTAAAGGTGCTAAAAGCGATTTTTAATAGAATGCTACCCCATTGCCTGACAGATATCACAGACCACAGATTCATTGTTTAAGCTGTGCCCCTCTCAATGTGGAGCAATGGCTGTGGTGCCTCTTCGTGGGAGTTGGAGAACTGCTGTGGGGTCAGGTAGGAGAGCAAGAGACATAAAAAACAAATAAGGAGAACAACTATCAAAGATCTTTGTGTGACTGAAGGTGTCGAGTATTTCATCAACTTTATGATTTTTCAAGTTTACTGTGTGCCACGTGATTCATTTTAAACCAATGTCTATTAATTGGGACTTTTATTACTACAACAGCTTCTACTCTTCAGGGAAGGCTTTTTTCTACAAAATGTTGGAACATAGCTGTGCGAATTTGCTCCCATTAAGACACAAGAGCATCAGTGAGGTCAGGCACTGATGTTGAGTAATGAGGTCTGGCTCATACCAAGTTCATCCCACGGGTGTTCAGTTGGGTTAAAGTTCTTCCACACCAGACTCAGTGCAGCATTTTATTGGTGGACAAGCTCTTTGGTTCTTATCCTACTGTGAATATTTGTCAGTGGATGCATGATCGATTGTATGCATCTGAAAGTCTCATGAATTGGTGTAGCCAAAATAGACAAACACATTAAAGGTGCTAAAAGCGATTTTTAATAGAATGCTACCCCATTGCCTGACAGATATCACAGACCACAGATTCATTGTTTAACCACTCAAAGCCAAGTTTTTTTTTAAGATACTTTCTGCCTGTCAATCATTTTGCATATTCTTAGGGCAGTCCAAATATGGGCAGCAGGAATGAACTGGATCATGCAAGTTAAGCACCAATTCCAGCTTCATAAGCAGTTTTCAGTTTTGTCTTGCAACAATTTTATCTTGCTACCGCCAATTCTGACAGCTCAATTCAATTAAATTCAAGTTTATTTGTATAGCGCCTTTTACGATACAAATCGTTGCAAAGCAACTTTACAGAAAATGAAGTTTCTACAATATTTAGTAGTAGCTTATCAGTGGTGACTGTCAGTTTATGTACATATGGCAGAAATGTACAGAAAAATCTATAAAAGACGTAATCAAACAGACGATGAACACTATTAACAGCAATTATTATATGATGCAATCAAACTTATAGCAAAGTTTGGTAGTTCTGTATGTTGTTTCAGGGTTGGCATCATCTAAGGTCCTCAGCGGTATCTTTGTAGGGCGGAGTTTTGGAAGAAGGGTGTGTGGCTAATTCCACAGCTTAATCTGATAGAATGGGAGTACTTTTAATTAGAAGGGGTGTCTATGTTTTTGGCCATAGTACCATCCTGGTGCTGCATGGGACTTGAAAATGTGGTTACTCAGACTTGATAGAGCTGAACAATAACTTTGCCGATATTAATTGGGCCGATTGTGACTGATATGATAAGTATTTTCTAATACTTATTTTCATCTTAAGGCTGATTTAGACTATTTTGTCTAAATAAATTAATAATTAAACACTAAAACTTAAAATGAGTTGTGAATTTATAGATCAAATTGTAATTGTACAGGATGAAAAATAGGAAAAAGCATGCACAGTTAAATATGTCTAATAGGCTACCGTTCAAATATTTTCAACATATTTTTTCAAATATTTTCAAAGCTTTTAATGTTACTCATGCTCAGCAAAACTGCATTTATTTGATCCAAATTACAGTAATATTACAATTTAAAGTAACCGTTTTCTATTTTAATATATTTTATAATGTATAATATAATTTATAATATTTCTGTGATTGCGATGCCATCAATATATGGTTTTGACGGCCTCAGTGATATCTTTGTAAGGCAGAGTTTTAGTAATGGGGGGTGTGTCTAATTCAGTTTCAATCAGTTCCAGATTTGTAGCATTTTTAAAAAGATGAGATATCTACATATTTTTACCCATGTATTGTATAAACTGTATATCCAGCACTGCTCACCATCGTACAGTATCAGTCATTCAACTCCTCTTAAACAAATTCTTATTTCCATCTCAGGTGATCGCCACCGTGCCCACTAGTCACCTGAAGTGTCTGAAGGAGGCGGGCCATGGGCCAGGGGTCGACGAGATGACGGAGGATGAGCTGGCCGATGACGAGGAGGAGATAGACCATGCTGAGAGGGAGCTACGCAGGGGGCAGATCCTCTGGTTTAGAGGCCTTAACCGTATCCAGACTCAGGTGCTGTGCATGAGACCCCTTACCTCTGACCAATCAATCCCTCTGGTAGAACTATTTAGAGCTCTAGTCACCTAAGATGGTTTCCACAGACAGTAGAACTTATGTTTCCTCAAAGAATGCTCTTTTGCTTTTCCTTTAGTTTCCTCCTCTTCTCTCCTCGCTCTCTCTAGACCCTCTCTGAATCACCAACATTAGTTCATCCTTGCCTTCTTCCTCTTCTCTTTCCTTCTCTCCTTCGCTACTCTATCTCGGTCTCTGCTTCCTACTGTTGGGACCCTTTACTAAATGCGTATAGATTTCCCCCAACAAGAATCTATAACATTCCCTCCCCCTTCTCGTGCTCAGAGCTCTGTTTTGTCACTCTATTATGTAACTTGAGTTCTTTAAAGTCCTAATTTATTGCTTAGTAACTCATTTTGCTCAGAGTCACAGCACAGAATCAGTCGCAGCCCGGGGTGCTGCATGGGACTTGAGAATGTTGCTCCTCAGACTTGATAGAGCTTGAAAGATTTGATGAGGATCTGAACAATGTTTGACTCTGGGGATGCACCAATATTAAAGATCTGGTTGATATGATAAGCTGCTAATTATTTTCATGTTAAGGCTGTATGTAATTCTATACTATTTTGTTTAAGATAAAAAAAACACTAAAACCTAAAATCAATTCAATGTACAGTAAGGGGTTCAGAAGTTTGGGGTCCGTAAGGTTTTCTTTAAAAAATATTTTTGTCTTTTAAGTCTTTAATGCTTACCAAGGCTACATTTATTTCATCAATATACAGTAAAAACAGTAATACTGTCAAAAATTATTATTATTATTTCAAATAATTTTTTTTCTGTTTAACATTTTAAAATGTAACTTATTGCTGTGATTGCAAAGCTGAATTTTCAGCATCATTACTCCAGATCCTTCGCCATCACCTGACCAATTAATACTAGCACTTACCGATTCTATTCTATTCTATTCTATTGTCTTCGTTTTGGTCTAATTTATTTATTTTAAAAAACCTTGCTATGTGCACTGTGCTAGACTAACTGAGACTTGTCAGAGCACTTGTATATTGTTGCTCTCTCGTTGATCTGATTGCTTCTACTTTGTAAGTCACTTTGGATAAAAGCATCTGCTAAATGACTAAATGCAAATGTAAATGTTCAGAAATCATTCTAATATGCTGATTTGATGCTCAAGAAACAATTATTATTATTGTCAATGTTGAAAACATTTGTGCTGCTTAATATTTTTGTAAAAACTGAGATATATTTTTTCAGGATTCTTTGATGAATAGAAAGTTCAAAAGAATAGCAAAAAGTTGAAAGAAATATTTTGACATTTTAAACTTTACTGTCATTATCATCAATTTAATTTGTCCTTGCTGAATAAAAGTATTAATTTCTTTCAGGAATAAAAAAACTGACCCCAAACTTTTGAACAGTAGTATATATGCTGAAACAATAAGATAAACTTCTAATATCTACTCATATAGTACTGATTTATAGTGAATCCCTACGCATCAAGGCTTGTGATATTATCATAAATGTGTCTACTGTAGTTATAGTATAAGGTGAGAAGAATATATTATAATTAGTTCTTATTTTGATTTGATCTGTATATATAATCAACCAAATGTATATTATACTATCTTGTTTCTCTGTCCATTTTCTCTCTACAATTTTCAACTCCGCTCACAGGTTTATTATTTATTCTTGAAGTAGCTTGATTTGAGTCCAATGCTAAATTCATTTCCCTGAGTAGAACTGAATTTTTTTTATGCTAATCGTAGTTCTCGATCTGGACTCCATCCATGACTTTAAGTGAGATTTTCTCTCTTTATGTGTTTGGGTTTGCCTAGAATTTTTGTGTGCTTGCTCCTTAAACTGTGCTAGAAGAAACTTAATAGCGTCTTTGTGGAAAGATCTGTTGTGTGGTGCACTTGTGACTTGTTAGCATTACTTTTGTTTCCTGAGCAGAAGGTACATATATGATATTAAAGGTCAGCAGGCATAGAGGAAGGTGGGTCGTGGTACCTGTTGGTTCATGGCACTGTAACTTAAGAAAGAGCTTTTATAACCGAACGCTCTCAAAGCACATGCATGCATGATGAAGCACTCACTCTTTTGGCCATGTTCTTGCCAATATACACCATCAGTGAGCAGACTTGATGGGATAGTAGAGCATTATATAGACATTTTTTTTAAATTTGGAGTGCCCGGTATGGATTGCCAAAGTGCTTGTAAAGCTCCTTACAAGGTTTCCATCGATTCCCTCACTGCTCGACACGGAGTAGGCAAAACACGACACGCATTATAGCGGCTGGCCTCATATCATCAGTCAGCCTAATCTAATCATGGCTTTCATCCTGCGTGACTCCACTGAGGAGAGCACCTCCATTTCTCAGTGTTGTGTTTTTGACACAGGGTATTTGCAGATTAATTATCGATGAGGTCTTATGCAAGATGATTGCATATTCTTACGGCATTTCCCATTTCGGTTTGGCCTGGTTTGACTTGTTCTTAAGGGCTGCATGTCAAATTAATTCAGCGCACAAAGTGAGTTTCAGAGAAGTGAAACATTTGGGGTGGTGTGGTTGCAGAGGCATCCATTTGTTGTGTTGGCTTTTATTACATGTAATGTTATAAAAATAGCATCTGCAAAATGACTAAATGTAAATGTAATGTTCAGTGAACTTATCTTGTGCGGTCTATTTGATCTTTTAACAAAGCCATTTAGAAACAAAAGAATACCGCAGTGACATCCGCACTCTATTTCTGGAAAAACAGAACAGAATCCTGATAAATTAACTGACAATGCAGCGTGTTTCTTTAAGTAAAATGCCATTTGCAACCATTTATTCTTGAGAGAATATTATATTCAGGACTTGATTTTTTATTAGAAAATGACTGAATAGTGGAAATGATATAACAGGTCTTAATGGTCAGTGATTAGTTGTTTTAGTGACCAAGCAAGTTATTACGTTTTGATGAATGATTATAAAGACTTTTATTTTCTTTGTTATATTATGCACCATTAAATCATTCTTAATAAGACCCAGTCCATGTACTAAGAAAGTAAACTGGGTTCAATTATTATTTCATCATAACTTTCATTATGATCCTGGTTGGAGGTCCTTAAAGGGGTAGTTTACCCAAAAATGAAAGTTATGTCATCGTTTACTCAGCCTCAAGTTGTTTTATGTAGGATTTATTTCTTCTACGGAAACCCCAAAAAAGAAATTCTGAAGAATAATTATGCCGGCTCCCACGTTTCCACATAGTGACCCTGTCTGTCTGTGAAGCCCCAAAAGGACAAAAACATAATGTGCTTTCCAACTAACAGCTTTGTGTGAGGAATAGACTGAACAAAAATTAAATGGTTGTTTTTCACAGCAAAAAATAACAGCAAATTTAGAACGGCATGAGGTAGAATAAATAATGACAGAACATTCATTTTTGGGTGAACTATCCTTTTAATGTCTAAAGATGTACCCCTTAGTACACAATGGCAACATATCTTTGTTTTTTCCTACTGAGTGAAGTATCACAAGCATATTTTCTTTTCGCTCTGCTCCCTCCTTCTTGCTCTTTCTCTCTCTTTTTTGCTCCGAAGTGTGTATGTGATGTGGTTCTCTCTCTCTCCTGCAGATGGAGGTAGTGAGTACGTTCAAGAGAAGTGGTTCGTTTCAGGGTGCAGTGAGACGTCGATCCTCTGTGCTCAGCCAGCTCCATGACGTAACCAATATTTCTACCCCCACTCATGTAGTTCTCTCCACTGCCAATGCAAGCGCCGCTCCCGGGAGTGAGTTCCCTGCTTTCCCTACCTGTGTCAGACACGACACTCACACACTCAGAAACACTCACAAAACATGAAAACTCTTACAAACACACACACACACATGCTCCAAGCATTCCTCCTTACACACAGCAGCACATGCAACACTCCACCGTGTGTGCCGTGGTACTTCTGTTCTGTATTTGAAACCTTCTCTGTAGTTGTCTCTCTGTGATTGAGTGGCTCTTTGCAAGACGGCCTGTCTGGCTTTGACTGATCCTCTATGAGCTGTTGTTTGTGTCTCCTCCTCTCCTTCTCTCGATTTCTGTGTGCTGTCTTGCTGTGTCGGGCCTTTTCTCTTGTTGTTGGGTTCTTCTTTGTAGTCTGAAGGTGTTGGTTTTATTTTCAAATCCCTGTTTCTCGATAAGCCATTCTCTGTCTTCTCTCTGTCCAAACCTGTTTCCTACAACAGAATGCGTACAAAACAGCGTTAGTGTTAAGTGCGTGGCAGAAAATATATTTTCTTTGATTTGAGTCTGATTTTTTTTTTTTTAAGCTGAAGTGGTTTTTTGAGCAAATGGAATTGCAAAAAATATGATAGATCAGATTTCATAAACATGAACCATTGGTTAGATAAACAGATTGTTCCGCCCCCAATCCAATGCCATTGGTTGAGACAATGTTGTTTTAATCGCGCCACAGAGAAACACTTTTTGGACAAATCCCCTTACAGATTACTCATTTATAGTTGTCTATGGTTATTTTGAATTGTAATAGGATTTTAACAAAAAAATGACACACTTCAGCTTTAAAATAGCATATTCTTAAAGATTTGTTATATACATTTGGACAACAGAATATATCATATAAGACATGGCTATTAAAATATCATACACAACATGACTTTGATGTATATTAAATCATTTAATAATTGCATGAAATTATTAAATAATTGCTTGTAAAATTAGTTTATTTAAAAATATATATTATAGTCTGGATATTGCAAGAAGAACCAGTATTAAAACCTGAATGTAGTCCAAAAGAGAGAATACAGAGAGAGCAATTATTTTCCAAGAGGCTTCTGTTGTCAAGCGTGGTTTGCTAAAAAGATGAGGTTTTACAGTAAGCAGAGGTACTCAATGTGCTGCACTGCTATGGCTTTTGAGCCTACAAAGGGGTAAACCTTCGAGTATAAGCCCTATAAGGTTCTTCTCCCTCTGATAGTTCTCTCTGTCTCTCTCTCTCTCTCATTCTCTTTCCCTCTGTTACTTTTTTCCAGATAATGCATCTTGTAATTTCCATCGTGAGACCGTGTGAAAGCATCCTCTAATGTCTCTGTGCTACTGACTGCATCTCCCTTCCACAGATCTTCACAGTCTTTTTCTCTGCCCCATGGTTCACATGGTTCATGGCTTAAATCTATTTTTACCTGTCTCCTGTTCTCTCCTCTGTAGGCATCTTCTAAACTAACAGTCTTTCATTTTCTATCAAAAGTAGTCCATTAGCATATGTCTAGATATCATTCTTTAAAGGAGTCAAAACAAGGGTTCAAAACAAGTTCAGCTCTATTGATAGCATCTTTGTCATGCTGTTGAAAATAATATCAGCTTGTCTGTCAGTTTGCAAAAACAAGCAAAGATTACAGATGCTGTCAATTGAGTTGAAAGTAAAAATTCTGTCCTAAAAATACATTTACTAACTCTCAGGCCATTCCAAACTGTATGACTTTCTTTTGTCTGTTGGACATGAAATAAGATGCTTTAAAGAATGTTCATGCTGCTCTTCCATACAATTAGAGTGGATGGTGACCAAGTGCACCATGAAAGTATTATAAAAGTATCATACACACTATAGTTAAACAGCTTTTTTTTAAGTTGTTATACACTGAAAATATTGAAGATCTCATCAGCTCTTCCTTCTATTTATGGTCACCATTCACTTTCATTGCATGGAAGTTTGGGCTTGGACTTTGGATTTAGCTATACATATCTGCTTTCATGTTCCACCCAAGAAATAAAGTCATGCAGGTTTGGAACAATATGAGGGTGAATAAATGACAATTGTAATTTAAAGAATAATAACTATCATTTGGGTGAACTATTCTTTAAACTTGTTTTGAACCCAGATTAATGCTTTAATACACCCTGGTAGAATTTAATGAGTGAATTTGAGAATGTGTATTATATGTTTTTGTTTCTGGGAATAGTGGATTAACAAAAAATTTTTCATTTATAAACATTTCTCCATCTTTGTGGTATTTTTTTTAGTTTCAGGCTAGAAATGTTAATTACGACTACCATATATCATTGCGGCTAACTGCTCTTTGATGTGCTTCATGTGTATCTGTACATTTTTCATCACATTTTCTCACTTTGTGTTTGCGGACTTATGCTTATGTGGGTGAACTCTACTCACTCTAGTCTTCTTTTTCAGCCCTATACACATAATTTTTGTTGTTTTTTCTCACGCTGAATTTTCTTTGGCTTTGACTGAGATTTACAAACATTAACATCATTCTGTCAACCTCATGTTAGAAATCAGACTACAGAAACATTTAGTAGATGTTAGTGTGTTGATATCTTTGCCTAAATGTAGTATTTTTATTCATGTATGATGTATATATTTATACATAATCTGTACGTATCTTTGAAAATCCTTTCATGCCCGCAATGTAGCTCTTTAGAGAAGAAAACACTATATTTCGATCAGTCATTCATCACAGCTCTCCAAAAACACATTTTTTTTCCTCCGAGCTGTCACACACACAAATGTTTGTTTCAAAATATTTGACAGATCTACGGATCAAGTTTGTTTTCATTTTAGGTTTTGTAAGATGGGTGCACATTGTAACCCAGAGGTTGAGAGGAGACGCAGTGCTGCCACTGATAGATTCATGTTTATCTCACTCATTTGTACGGTAATGGTTCACTGCTCAACACAGATGCTCCCTAACAGTAAGAGAGTCAGTGGAATATATTTTCTCAAAGTGGAAAGGTCCAAGCGATGCTAATTTATTAAAGTTTTCCGAGCTTTGATTACTACCATCTGATAAAAATAATCATATTCATAGTCTGTGTCACTGTGCGAATTCTGCCATCAGATTATACAGTGCATTTTATAAAGTGTTTGCTAAATGCTTTTTCCTCAGAGCTGTCACACACACAAATGTTTGTTTCAAAATATTTGACAGATCTACGGATCAAGTTTGTTTTCATTTTAGGTTTTGTAAGATGGGTGCACATTGTAACCCAGAGGTTGAGAGGAGACGCAGTGCTGCCACTGATAGATTCATGTTTATCTCACTCATTTGTACGGTAATGGTTCACTGCTCAACACAGATGCTCCCTAACAGTAAGAGAGTCAGTGGAATATATTTTCTCAAAGTGGAAAGGTCCAAGCGATGCTAATTTATTAAAGTTTTCCGAGCTTTGATTACTACCATCTGATAAAAATAATCATATTCATAGTCTGTGTAACTGTGCGAATTCTGCCATCAGATTATACAGTGCATTTTATAAAGTGTTTGCTAAATGTATAATATTGTATAATTTTATAAAGATCACCATAGTTAAATGATTCAATATGTGAGATATGTGAGATAAATCACAAATTATGGCAAAGAATATCAATACAAAATGCACATTGCTGTAATTAAAAACAACTCCTTTAAAAAATGTAATAATTTATCATTTGAGTTGCATTAATTGTATTAATAGAGCAAAATCTTAAATCCACTACATGAAGAGAATTGCACTGTATAATTTACAGCATTTACAGTCACTTCTAAATATAAATTATGTCAAATTAACCCATTATAAAGAGTGAAAATAGGTCCATGTCCAGCGAATACCCTTTAACAATCTTTATACATAAACCTTTTTGAATGCATTCATACAAATTCAACTTGAAATCATTATTTCATCACTGCTTTGTTAACTACTTCCTCTCCTTTCCTGCATCTTATCACTTTGTCTGCTTTCTGTGTAGCTCTATTTTCATTTCAGACATCTTTGGGAAATATTTGTTGAGTAAAGAAGTCGTTTTTGGTTTTAATGATAAAGTTTTTCCATCAAGCTTTTTTTCTTTGAAGGACAGCGTGGGGGAGACAGTGGATAGTAATCTGGCATGCAAACATCCAGAACAAAGAGGGGAAAAAACCCAATCAGTTTTAAACAAACACACATTTCCCAAAAGTGGGCGATATACTCGAACGTTTACCTGTATCCATGCAAAAAAGAAAAAAAAACAGAAAGAAAGAAATTCAAAGAACAAAAATGAAAACAAACAGTTTCTCGATTCAGATTTGCATGACTTTTTCTCAACAAACAGGCTCTTTGGAAAAACAGATAAGCACTTAATCAAATGCTTGACCGCCCCTTCCTGTTTGTTTTGTCTCTTGTAAATTCTTTCTTGGTCATTTTAGCTTCTTTTCCTTTGCTGGGTGAGTGTTGAAGTGAGGGTTGGGGTGGGCGGCACCGGCCTGTGGCCACAGCAAAGGATCGCGCTCTCAAATCTCCTTCCTTCTGAATATATACACACGACACGACAGACGCGTGTGTATATGTGCTCCAGCTGCATTTGAGTTACTCTTACAGCATGAGCCTGACTGCTTACCATCATGCATTCAAGTTTTTGAGTTTGACCTTGACTTTCATTGTTTCTGTTCCTGTAACACGACAACGAGACAGCTGCACTGGAATGAGCATTTTACTTTCTGATCGGTTCCCGTGCTCCTTCTTTTCTCTGCATATAGACTGAGGCAGATCTCATCAGCTCTTCTTCTCTGTGTGTCATCTGCACTCGACTGCTCTGCTGCATGCCAAAAGATGCTCACACTCTCTCTATCTTTCTCACTGAATGTGCTTTTCCACACCTCTCTAAACATTCACAACTGAATCTGTCATCCGAACAGTAATCCAGAATAGTTTCCCTAACCGAGATTTAAAAAAAATAATAATCAATTCCAGGCCTATGATACTGTACAAAGGTGTGATCCATTTGTGCTGATAAGGTGACTTTTGCAGAAACCAGAGATCTGTGACCTTGTTTATTGTATCAAGCTTTTTTTCTTTGAAGGACAGCGTGGGGGAGACAGTGGATAGTAATCTGGCATGCAAACATCCAGAACAAAGAGGGGAAAAAACCCAATCAGTTTTAAACAAACACACATTTCCCAAAAGTGGGCGATATACTCGAACGTTTACCTGTATCCATGCAAAAAAGAAAAAAAAACAGAAAGAAAGAAATTCAAAGAACAAAAATGAAAACAAACAGTTTCTCGATTCAGATTTGCATGACTTTTTCTCAACAAACAGGCTCTTTGGAAAAACAGATAAGCACTTAATCAAATGCTTGACCGCCCTTTCCTGTTTGTTTTGTCTCTTGTAAATTCTTTCTTGGTCATTTTAGCTTCTTTTCCTTTGCTGGGTGAGTGTTGAAGTGAGGGTTGGGGTGGGCGGCACCGGCCTGTGGCCACAGCAAAGGATCGCGCTCTCAAATCTCCTTCCTTCTGAATATATACACACGAGAGACGCGTGTGTATATGTGCTCCAGCCGCATTTGAGTTACTCTTACAGCATGAGCCTGACTGCTTACCATCATGCATTCAAGTTTTTGAGTTTGACCTTGACTTTCATTGTTTCTGTTCCTGTAACACGACAACGAGACAGCTGCACTGGAATGAGCATTTTACTTTCTGATCGGTTCCCGTGCTCCTTCTTTTCTCTGCATATAGACTGAGGCAGATCTCATCAGCTCTTCTTCTCTGTGTGTCATCTGCACTCGACTGCTCTGCTGCATGCCAAAAGATGCTCACACTCTCTCTATCTTTCTCACTGAATGTGCTTTTCCACACCTCTCTAAACATTCACAACTGAATCTGT